AGCAAGACATCTATACTGTACTCTGCTGTCTCCAATAATTTTCAGCTCGTTCCACGACTACCGACAAGCTTTCGTTCCCTCTCCACACGATCACCTTATCAACTCTAGATAGACGCCCAACCCATCACTTCCCGTATGCGTCCCACTTGAGCGTTGGTCTACCGCGTGAGCATAGTGCGGTGTATTTCCGTCTGCATACTTGTTTATCAATCAGCTCTTCGTTCGTCTGATAACAGAGATCTTGTTTGCTTACTTATCCATTCCTGCTAGCTATCTGACCTTCAACATTGAGTGGAAGTATCTGTTGTTGAAAGTCTGCAGTAGACTAATGGAAATGCTTTCGATGACATGGGTGATAAGTCTCTGAATCATGTACAAGCACTGACTTGACATTAGTGTCACGAGTTCGAGTTCACACTGACCGCTCTGGTTTCAAAGTAATAAACTCTTGCTATGCTTTTCTGATCCTGGATAACTTTAACATCCTCATCATTGCAGCTTGCAGTTGAAAGGATACTACTATCAGGGTAAGGTAAGTGAAAAACACACCTTACTTCATATTTTTCACAAGGATAGTGACTAGAGTTTGCTTTTAGTCAGATATCTTCAAAAGTCAACGCCAAAGCCACGAAGACTTCAAAGCATTAGATGAATCTTATTATAAACCAAACTTCTTCTCAACTTCAGTAGTCAATTTCTTACATTAAAATTTCAACTGGTGTACAAAAAGCTACTATAAATTGTTGATGAACAGATTAATATGATGTGGCTAAGATAAAAGCCATTAATTGATTTCTCTTTGTGTCATCAACAAAAGTTGCATAAGCATCATAGGAACAAGTTTTAATAAATCTTGAAGGATTTTTTTCTCACTCCATTGGACTAAAATGAAGATGTGTTTACTAAAATCATCTAAGTTATCTAATTTTTAACACAACCTATTGCTCTGTTTCAAATCATGGAATATGCGTCGGTGGCATAGCGGTTAGGACACTCGCCGACCATGCATATGGTCCGGAGTACGATCCCCGGCCACCAGAGCACTCCTTTACCTCACTAAACCAGAAATAAAGCTGGTGAAGAGGAAAGGTTGGGCATGAGGCTAGCAACCCCATCCTGTAAAATAAACACTGCTACAGAAACTTCAAGCCTCTAGCTTGAAGCCACCCTACGTTCCACTGGGAACGTGAAGGAACAAAAAAAAATCATAGGGAATAATAAAATGAAGATTGCAGCGAAGAAAATTTTCTTTTTGAGGAAGTCATTAACTAGGCTACTACATTCGTGTATTTATAGTAAATGGGTGAGCAAGTTCCAGAATTATTTCCAGTCAAAGGTCAAATTAATGAAATTACAAAGTGAAATAAACACGAAGATCGGATACAGACTATAGTAAGGTAGATAGAAATATTTCAGGTCAAAGGTCAGCTTAATAAAATCACATAATATATGGGTGGGAAAGTTCTAAGAAAATACTACAACCTATCTACCTTACTATATTCAGTATCCGATCTTCGTGTTCATTACACTTTGTAATTTCACTAATTTGACCTTTGACTGAAAATAATTCTGGAACTTTCTCCATCATTTACTATAAATACACGAATGTTGATGACTTCGTCGAAAAGAAAATTTTCTTCGCTGCAACCATCATTTTATTATAACCCATTGCATCAAATTTACTTCATTTTACTTTCTCTTAACCACCTATTTACGTCCTTAGAGAACAGTCTGTACTCATCTATTTATTTTAGAATGCGTTTCAGTGTACCGCTGGGTATGTTTTGAAGAGATAAAACCACTGGAGGTTGCAGCATGCTTTACACTAAACAATATTCAAATAGAATGATATCCTGTAGATTAATACTTCACTTGAAGATTCTGTGCAAGAAGGTGGTGAAATATTGCTGAAAACTCTGTACTGTATGCAAACGTATTGTTCAGAATAATAGTATTATTAGTAGCAAAGTAATATGATGTCATTTTTTAAATACTGTTTATAATATAGTTAGCTGATTGACCTAAAACCCTGCTTTCCTTGTGCAAAACAAACTGAAAGAATGCTATTGTCAATCATAAAGAATTCACAAATATTCACAGTTAATAATACAACACCAGATATTCCTGGAATCTGATGCTAACATCTGATGTCACTGGCCACCTATGTTGCTTATAATTAAACTAATATTTAGCTGTGAGTTTACATCAACTTGCTATTCACTCACTCTAGTACGTATTCGCAGGTTATCTAAAAGGTGAAAGATTTAGAATAATAGCTTTGTTGACAAGTTAGCTTAAAAAGAATAGTTATAGTGAATATGAGTAATTGAGGATTAAAAGAAATTCTTGCAAACAACTATTATAATTAGCCGTTGGTTAGATTTCTAATGGATCCTTTTTTTCAGCAAGAAAGGCTGAATGTCAGGCAGACAGATGGTGCACTTCAAGAAAAAAGATATTATTAGTTTGTAATCCTATTTAGTTACAAAATACAGTAGATTTATGCAACAGTCTACTGCGTCACAATATGCAGCACCCACATCTAAACCCTCAACAAAATGGTACTCAAGTAAACTAAGTGATGAATTGATTTCTTCCAACACCGCCTAGTCTACTAGCTCCCTAGTTTTCTAGCCGTTCTGAAACCCGGAATAAAAAGCTGGGGTTGAGCGTGGAGCTAGCTACCCTACACAACAAAAGCTATCAAACTACTAGAGAAACTTTACAGCTCAAAAATATGTCAAAAATACAGAAAAATCAAATAACAATCTTATTCTTCGCTGGAATCGGAGAAGCGAAATGACACAGTGGGGTGGTGAAAGCCTTCGCAGAACCAGTCAGCCAGCCAACGTGTCTTCTTTCGATGAAGGCAATAATAAGAATGCAGAAATGGACGTGGAATGTAAGTACAATTTACGAGGCTGAAAAAGATGTCCAGGAAGCCAGAGAAATGCGAAGACGTGGTACAGAAGTGCTAGATAGCTGTGAGAGCAGATGGAATGGATGTGGATTGACAAAATTGTCAACGGGAGAGTCAATAATATACTCCTGTATGGTCATCCAGACGACAAATACGAACACACTGAGGCAGCCAGTGGCTATAATGTTGTCACCAGTGACATCCAAATCCCTAATGCAATTGGAACCAATTTCATCTTGCGGGATCATGACGGCAAGATTCAACTCCAAAGGAAGGAAGGTAACAGTTATCCAGTGCTACGTACAGTGCTACAAACAACGCGGAACAAGAGAAGGAAGATTTTTTCCAGACAACTACAAACAGTAATGTGCAACATCCCAAATGATGACAACAGAATCCTTGTGAGGGTTATGAATGCCAGCCGGACGTGGAACAGATAATACAGGAAGATAACTCATAATGGGTCGAGAGGCTATCGCTCGGAGAAATGAATGGGAACAGAGAATTATTCGCAGACTTCTGTGATTTCAGTGATTGGAGGCAGCGTGTACAAGCATAAAGGTATACACAAAGCAAATGGGTTTCGCCTGACGGACACACCGCGAACCAGATAGCCTTCATCCCAATGTTGCTCAAGAAAGTGGAGACGCAACTAGCCTACTGGACAAAAAGCCGAGAAGGGGAACAGATGTGGGCTCAGACCATCATCTAGTTCAAGGAACCTTCAAGGTGAAGCTGGAGATAAGCCACAATTCGAGATCAACATTCAGAAACTGGACCGAAGGACAAAATACAAGGGATGCCTTCACTACAGATTAGAGCAAAGTTGGATACACTACGTGGCATCATTGAGAAAACCCAAGTGGAAAAAAACATTGGAACTAACTCATTGAAGGTGATTTCCAAGGAAACGTATACAAATGTTCTAGGAAGAAAGACGACACATGACAAGGAATCGCTGTCAACGGATACCTGGAAGCCAATCGAGGAGAGGAGGATAGTGGAAGAGAAGATGACTCAATGCAAAGACGCACAACCGAAGGAGAAGCTGAGTTCAAAGTACACTGCACTCAGTAAAGCAGTAATGATGAGTGTCAGGAGAGACGAAAGACAATTCCTACGACACACTGGTAACTGAAGCAGAACAAGTAGCAGGCAAAAGAGATCGCACGACATTATATCAGATAACCAGGTCTCTGTCCGGGAAGAGATCAACACAAATGATGAAACATTGGTTTCATTGGATGCAGAACTTCACCAACTGTAACAAGGTGGATTCATGAAAGGTAAATCATGTGCTGATCAAATCGCAATTCTACGAATCATCATCGAGCAAAAAATAGAATGACAGTCAAACCTGCAGCTTAACTTCATTGACCTAGAAGTAATTTGGGACCTACTTCAACACTACCATGTGCAGTGCCAAAATCTTTATCAAACTTATTCAACAGGTGGTTATATGATAGTGCCACGTATCAGGTGATCCACAACAGAAAACTCAGCCAAGGCTTTGAAGTGAAGACAGGAGTAAGACCAGCTGGCTACCTGTTATCACCGACGGTATTATTAATCGTAGTGAACTGGATTATGCATCAGACTGTGCATTGGGAATGAGAAGACAGGAATACGCTGGTCCAGTTTCGAACCTCGGTGGGTGCATACTGACGAACAGTCCAAAACCAGGATGAAACAAGTTGTTCAGTACTCTCTGGTTTCCTAGTAGTTCTCTAACTGATGTCAGCCCATGATTAAACCCTTTAACCACTCAAATCGCTGCAATCAACACTTGTAAGTATCTATCCCTTGGTGTTTCAAAAACATACATTAGAACTCAACTCTGTAAACTAGGGGAGTAGGCGCTGCATCAATGGTCCTTTAAGAACTAATAATGATGACAACAATATGTATCTTCAACGTAACAAAGGCGATTCGAACTGCTGCAATCGATCAGTAGAAGAATCGAATATGAACTGGGTAAATTAGTTACGGTATTTATAAACGAAGCTACTACCCCAGTGAATTAAACCAATGCCTAGAATTGTAGTCATACACACACACACACATACACGAAAAAAATATTATCAAATAAGCAAATATGTAACTAAAGCAGTATACACTGTGATAGTTATTATTATTATTATTATTACTTTTATTAATATGAATAACTCAGAATAGCAAAAGACATACAAACAAACAAACAAAGAAATCAATAAATGTGTCTCATAAAAATTCAAAATAGTTTTTTTTTATATTTATCATATATATGCATATACGTACGTATACAGTATAAATAAATATATGTATATGGAGAGAGATCAGTTTTTCACGTTCTCTTTCAAACAAAACAGACTTTGAAAGTTTTTGTATGATATGTAGTTCACTTTACGCCTAAAACGTTTTATTTTTGTGACTTTATTATTATTAGTGATAATTATTATTTTTGGCAAATAAGTAGTATGATATTTGAACTCTATCTGTAGGTTAAACACACGCAAATAAAAAAAAACCCAACACTTAGCTGGAAGATCTGATTAAAAAGTATTTTAAAAAGCACAAGAATATCAAGGCTTTGTAAAGGCCCCCAGAGGATAAAAAATATAAAAGAATTAATGTCACTAATGTGTTAGGCACTGTTAACGAGTGAACAAAATGACGAGTAAAAACAATGAATAGTTAGTTCTCATTGATACACATCACAAACATCCCCTCCCCTTTTTGCTTCAACTTGGAAATACGTCTAAAGTATTTAAGCTATCAAAGGAGAAAAAGAGAGGGAAAAACAACAACAAGACGGTCTATATATGTTCTCTGAGGATAAAACAACATCTTTACATCTTAAATTGAAACATTGAACAAGTGAATTGTAACAAATTGAACATAGAACAATGCTGGAGAATGGAAGTTATCATTAAGTAAGTAAGCAGGTAAGAGAAGAAGAAGAGATGAGTATGTGGTAATCTCAATGTATAAAACGAAATCGCACCTACACACATATGAGAATGGATGAGTCAATGATGAACAGCATAAGTAAATGCCTGATGAACACAATGAATAATAATAATGTCGGCAAACAAGCGATAAACAAAAGTGATAATAATCATAAAACTGATCAAAAGAGGTTTTATAATACGTGAGCAAATAATAATAATAATAGTAGTAAAAGTTCAGTGTTAGGTGAATTGAAGAAACAAAAGACAGCATGGTGTTGGTGGAGGAGGGCACAAAGGAAAGGCGAATGAGCCAATCACAGAATAATGAATAATGAATTAGGCAGTTTATTGTCAATCAGCAAGTTAGTGTGAATTGACTCTAATTCGCTTGCTTCAAATAATCATAATAATAATAATAGTAAAAAATAGTTGTTGTAGTAGTAATAGTAGTGGTAATAGTGTTATCAATCATGTATAATTTGTCATATATAATCCTGTTTCTTCTCTATGCGTGTGTGACTGTGTGCGCGTGTGTGTTTTAAGCTCGTTCCAAATATTGCGTTAATCCGTCAATGAGTAGACGATTTCTTAGATTGCATAATTCTCTAGATAATCGATCAATATCATTAGCTTTTTCACTCAGCTGTGTTTCAAGTGTTAATGTGTGCGATTTAATTGTACTAATCAAGTGATTAGCATCATTTAACATTGAACGTAAAGCTAAATTTAAACAAAGATGAAGAAGAACATATTTATAAATTGTTAATTAATCATTTAATATTGACCAAATTATTTTATGATAATAATACTGAGAAGAAATTCAATTCCTTTTTTAGTAGACCCATCAATCACAATGACCGAGCAAGCTGAATTGGGTTTTTCGCATTCTGTTGCGTTTCATTTGGGACATAAGGTTTCAAGTTCGAGTTCTGAAGTCTCAGTAGGGCTTGTGGTTTTATCAGGTAGGGTTGCTGGCTTCATACCCAACCTTCTGGCTATTCCCGGCTTGCTACCAGCTAGTAACCTAGGCGACGTATAGGAGTGATTCAGCTGAGAATCTAACGTCGATTACATATATGGCGTTGGTGAGCGTTCAACCATTGAACAATCAATCGACGCAAGAATAAAGTACAAAGTACACTAATAGTTGAGTGTTTGAAAGTTGGAAGCGAAAATTCAATGGTAAATGCATAATACTATACACTACTAATTCACTTGAATGATTAGTTATTTACCACAGTCACACTAACGAGTAGTAATGCTTACTAGCCAGATAGAAATGATCTAAACACCGGACAGCCGACTTCAGCAGAGGCGTACTCGGCTCGACTCAATTCAACGAAGGGTCAATTTAATTCTCTTCAAACCAATCGATCTCTTGTTAAGCATGACTAAAAAGCCAACTGTGAACTTTTTCATCTCTACAAATGATTGCAATCAGAAGGACACTTTCATGATAGCAATCGTACACTACCTATAAATTGTAATGATCAGTTTCAAGTGCAAGAAGACAATATGTATTCAGTTGCTTCATGCATCTACATCTGAGATTGTGTCACTCTATAGAAAGTGCTATTGAATCGTGTGACGGATTTCTACAGTTCTCCGTTGGATTACTTGCTCTGAGGACTACTGTTGCTATTATTATCATCATCAACTGATATAAATATGAGTAATGGTATTCTATTTAAAAAAAACCATCCAGTTAATAACACTTAATCACTCTGTATTATATCAAATAAAGTTATATAATGTGGAATCACACTCTTCCACAATACCTACGTACTAGTCTTAATACTATTACTAATTGAATGTCATGTAATTTTCATATCGATTAAAAGATGCATCAAGAAATGTTAAATGTGGTGTACTTTAAGTTCAACGTTTATAAATACCATGACTGTGGCAGTCTCCGATTGAAGTAGTTTGTATATTCTTCTGAGTAAATACTTCCCAGAAGCCTACCACCTTCAGTATGTTCCACAATGAAACTAAGTAAAGTGGGTGATTTATGAAACATTTGAGTTTATCTTTTAAATACAAGTACGTCACTTTCCAGTGCTTCACATGAACTGCATTCTCAGATGCCACGACGTTCAGTGACTTATTGCAAAGAGCATCTTTTGCTAAACAACCACCTAAAAAGGAACTAACGTCAGGTGAAAAATACTGGAAAAATACTACAAATACAAATATTACTAAACGACACATTATGAAAGAAGACAGTAGTCACTTCTATTCTAATGTAAACATCAACCAGAAAAACATAAACTAGTAAATTGGAGAAATATCGTATCAAATGTAATATAGAATGTTAGATTATGTGGCTTAAAGTGTTGTTTCCTTCTAGACAGTTTTTGTTTTGTAAAAAGGAAGTAAAACTTTACAAGCGGTGATCATTTCGTCATCTACTCTACACTGTTCCATTTTATGCCTTCACCATGTGTACTTGTAGAAGTTTAACAATATTTCAGGGAAATTTTAAAAATGATAACTGACCTTCATTTTCTAATCGTAAACTCTCATCTTCAACGGCTCCATAATACCTGAAAATGTAGAGATAAACAGGTGATTAGAAGTTATGCAAACTGATCAGACTATATATTCTGATGATTCACTAAATGATTTAAACATATAAAAGAATGCTATCTAGTTTCATGAAGAAGTGAATTTATCTGATTAACTTTATAAGTAAAACAATAGACACTAATAATAAGAACGAAAATCCTATCGACTTACAATATAGGATCAGTTTTGCCACATCTATGTGCATTTATCAATTCAACTGCACCTGCAGTGACAGTTATGTTGGGCGTACTACTAGACAGCTTAGCCAACGTGTTACTGAACATCTCCTATCGTGGTTTGGCAAGGGACAGACAAAAACAATCTGTGGCTCAATTTTGTCACATTTAATTGATAGGGGTCATGTAGTCGAGAAAACGAAAGCCTTCAAAGTAATTCATCTTATCCCACCAAATCTTTCCAATAGACTTCGTATCCATCAACTGCACACAGCTGAGGCGATAGGCATTCGAACTATTGAACCTAAACTATGCATTCAAAAGAAGTTCGTACAGCCATTATCCCTCCCTTGCTTGGCCTATTAAGACATAACCAACTGATAACTTCTACACCACCCCTTATTTATATTTTCAACCCCTTTCTTATCATACCTTAATCTTATGACATCTTCATTAAAAACGTGTCTCATTTACTTCCCTTACAGTTTAGCATTACTTATTTGGTTCATTTGTTTTTACTAGCCTTTATTCGACTACTTCCACCTGAACATTTGTTTGTTTAATCATACTATATTTCATTATTCGTGTTATCGCAGAGTGCCTCACTTTTTCACCGTTATTATTGATAAAACCGTTATTATTATTACTATTATAATTGCTACTATTATGACTAATTGCACAATTTATGCGCACCATCTTATTATCCTATAGACAAAACACCATGATTGGTTTATATTTGTATTTCATTTGTAAAATTATACACTTTAGAGTTAAGCCTGATGAGATCTAACCGAAAACAATATTGTTCGCTTGAATGTGTTGTTCTAAATTTTACTATGGGAATATTTAATAAAATCAGTAAACAATCTTACTAATCAGTAGAAATGACCACGGAAACTAAACAACGTCAAAATAATAAAGATAGTGCCATCTCTGCTTACCAACGCTCGAAGATTCATCTGGTGAACACAAATGACTAACTACAAGAAGAAATGGCTTGAAGTTCCTAGTAGGAAGTTGCAATCAGTGGAGTCCACCAATTTGGATGTGATGACAACTAGTCATAGATGACACTGGCTGACGGTCTCGCCATACATCGTAAACTAGCAGAAGTTACAATTGATGGCCCATTAAATTCCGTCCTAATGGCTGAATAGCTAACGAAGATATCTTGTAACCTGAGGGGTCCTAGGTTCAAGCCTTGGTAGGACCATGGATGCGTACCGCTGAAGAGTCCCAAACACTGATAAAACAGCTGTCCAGTACTCCTTAGTTTTCAATGGTCCTCTAGCTGACGTCGATTCTCATTAACACCTGAAATCAATTAAGTGCCTACATATTAGCACTTGAAAACACCTTAGTTTTTCCTAAAATGACCAGTCGATAAATATGCTTGTAGAAAAAAAAAGTTTAATTTACTAATAAAATTTGATGTATATAATGTATGATAGTGATGTGTATCAAAATATTAAAATTTCGCAAACAATGACAGAAACAACAACAACAACAAGAACTTACTTTTAGATCGTCCAGAAGCAGCACTGCGATCTGAACTACGATGTCGTTTGACAATTCATTGAATTCTACTGTTTGGTTAGTATCAGCAGACATAGCTGAGGTAGTTTCCAATTCTGTGTCTTCATTTAATTGATTATGTAAATTGCTTAAAGGTTCTAGTGTACTACTAGAATGTTTTGGTGTTTTGTTAACCTGTTGATTTATTTTATTTGTATTATTCACCTTTAGTAGTGATGATTCTTTTGTATTATTTCTTATTTTAGAGAAACTATCTTGTTTGTTTAATTCATTACGTTTAAATGGTGGTAAAGTTTTCGGCATAGTATCAGGTGAATTCAATGTTGAACCGCCTAATTCTGATTCACCGGTAGGACGTCCTTTTTGTGATACAAAACTTTCACGATCATGAGTAGTATTTGAAAAGGCTAAAAGAAAAAAAAAGCAATATTAAATGAACACTATATAAGAAAGACGGGAGAAAATGAAGAATTTTGTATTGTTTAATATCTAAACCTTTCTAAAAAAAATTATCACTAACTATTCATACGACCTGTATTATATCTCTTCTCGTTTACTTGTCTTTTCGTTCACTTTAGATGGAGATAATTTTAAAAGCCAAATATAAATGGGATTAGAATATAATACTGCTGGGAGCCAACGAGTCTGTCAGTCGTTCAGCTGTAGAAATGCTCACCAACCACGCCGCAAGTGGTCCGGGGTTGAATTCCCAACCGACGTACTCCCAAGTGTCGCGTAGCTAGTAGCAACCTCAGTGAAGAGGGAAGGCTGGGTGCAAAGGTGACAAACCCATCCTGTGAAAGCAACACAATCACAACCACTGAAACTTCAGAGGCCAAGACTCAACCTTTATGCTCCATTCAGAACACAAAGGAATGAGGAAAATGAAGCCAATAGGAATCGGACAAAAAAATAGTATCAAAGCACTCACCATAGGTAATTATATGCAACGATCGTAGGATTCTGTTGGCACGGTCGTTTATTTACAAAAGGAGACAGACGAAAACACACCGAAGTGGATAGTTTTGCAAAATCACATAAATATCCCCATTATAGTTACTCAACACAACAATAATAATTAGAGCGAACGATTATTTCTAATAAATTCTTCAGCCTCTACAATTATAATGCCATTAAAGATACTATCCAGTAAAGACAAATTGAAATGTCATCATGAGCTGACATCAGTTAGAGAACTATTGATAAAACCAGATGGGAGTACTGGACAGCCAGCTGTTTCATCCCACTTTGGGACTCTTTACCAGTGAGCACCCACCGACAGGATTCGAACCCAAAACCTTCTGGGTACAAGGCTAGGGAGCTCGTAGACCATTAAGCCACTGGGACCCGATCCAACGGTCAACCCATGAGTTCTAACTTCTGCCTATTCCAGGCTTTCCAATGGTTCTCTACCTGATATCAGCTAATGATAAAATCCTCCAACCAATCAAACTAAATCCCTACAAAAAACCAATAATCGAAAAATTAGAATTATACACCAGAAAGTCTAATGGATGGTACAAATATCAGATGGAATTACTGACTATTAATCAGTGACCTTTTGATTACCACTTAAATCTATATAAAATGAAAATTTGTTCAATAAGGACATGAGATAGAATTAAATAAAATAATTCAGCAATGTGTTTGTATATTTAAAATCAACAAAAAGTGGCACAGCTTTCAATAGGTAAGTGCAGTCAATTATTGTGTGTGAGAGATAATATAAAATACTATAGAGAAAACAAACCAACAAGTAGGATAAGCTAAACGTAAGTTCAAGGGTAACATAAATAACAACGATAGTGTGGTGTACACACAAAAGTACTAGTAGTGAACACTTATCATATGATTTCATACATGATTCGATTGACGGTAGCCATTAGTGAATTTTAATACACGAGTTTCACCTTGTCAGTTGAATGTAACTGAATTATCCTAACAGCCACTATCAAACAAGCAATGTCATATGAAACTCACGATATCGTCGAAGCTTCTGTGATAGAAGCTGACATGTCAACAGAGACTGGGCATCTCGATTCCCTGACACCGATAAACTAGAAATTCAAAATAACCTCAAATAGGCATTAGTTTTATTTCTAGGGATTGTACGATTTCCCCTAAAATAACATGACATCAGTGATCTTTATGTGCACAACTGCGGAAAACGACATACTACTAATTGATTGGGACAAGTAGTTATATATCACCCACATACGCCAGTTGTTTTTGCTGACCATATTGAAGTGAACTAAACACTGAACAGCTGTTTCATTCGTTTGAGGTCGAGAGATGTACCCGGTTCGACTCAAATGAGGGGACAGATCCTAGCCGAGCGTAACAGCTGTCTGGTATATAAATCACTTTGATCTGGCGAGTAAAAACACTACTGATTCATATAAGGGTGGTATACAACTACTCATTTCAATCAACCAGTAGTATATATGGTGCCATTCGTTTATGCTTATTTTCTTGATTACCATTTAAGGTGTTTGATTTGAATAATTTCGGTTTCCAAATGAAAGTATGATGAAATTTTACCTCCTCGAAATGTGTAAATTATAAATTACGAATTATAATTACGGTATATCTTTAGAATAACCACACACCTGCAAATTACTTCTAAACTTTACACATTCTGAAAATTAAAAAAATACATTCTATCAAAAGATTGCCACCACATCCTAAAACCTTGAATTATAACTATCTAGAATTATGAAGTTCGTCTAAATATCAGTGCACTTGTCGATTGTGATTAACACCCAGAGAAGAATTCAATATATCCATCAGATTTAATCATATGCCCGTTAGTTAGATGAAAACAAAGGATCAAAGGTAGGTTAGAAATTGCTAGAGGAATAGAAATGGAATAGTAAGAGAAAGAAACGTACTGCATAGAACTGAAAGTACTTTTCTGAAATTATTAAACAAGCAATACGGACCGACGCTTTCATTAGTATATAGTATATGAGTGGTACGTTTAGGAATACGCATAAGTCGAACACAATTCACGGTTGTCTGCGAAAGAACAAGGATACTAAGAGCCAACTAGTAAACATTATGGAAGTATTTATTGATCAACGTGAAAACTAAACCTATTTGACAAGTCCAATAGTTAAGCAATTATAAGCATATACTTAGTAGACCAGGGACTACAGGTTCCAATTATGATTCTAATTGGTGGATGGTGACTAGCAGTGGAATCCAGGACGCGCATTTCGTCCTAGTTTGGACTCGTCATTGGATGTACCTGCATTTCTCAGTGAGTGATGATGTTTCCACCGAGGCTCAAACCCAGTGCCCATAGTTTCAAACGTCAAAGCGTTATCTGCTAGACCACTTAGGCCGCGAGAGCCACCTCTTGTGCAACAGATCATGTTAATTTAATTCAATTTTAGATTTTCCCGTCGATTGATTGGACCGAAGTGCTCGGTCTCAGGTTGACATGTCGGCTTCTTGTGCAGATGCTTCGACGATGTCTGGGGATTTAGTTAGTATACAATTGGTGGATGGTGGCTAGCAGTGGAATCCAGGATGCGCATTTCGTCCTAGTTGGGACGGAAAGTTTCGTCTCACCTTTAAATATCATAATTACACTTAAGTCAGTTATTTAAGATGTGATTAATATAAGTTAATTGTTATGTACCACAGTTTACCTGCTACATCTACTTTCAGACTTCTGACGACTAACCAACTTTTTACAACTTTGTTGATTACCTTTAAATTTCTTGGTCAACTGAAAGCCTTAAGCAATATGAAATATTAATCATATTTGACACGAACAATGGTCTGACAGTTTTGTTGCTTTTTACTGATAAAATACATATATAGTATCAACCTAGGGACCCAACCTTGATGCATTATGTCCAAAGTTCTCACACTTCGTATCTGCACATTCATGCAACTGCACTCTATTAAAATAGACTTGCAGTCATATCATATGAACTCGTCTAATCATAGGTTATTGTGATTACCGTGAACTCCAGCCAGTGAACCTGTGCTACATTGCACAACTTAGACGAGGAGTAACTTGATTTACGGGCTGGTACCATACCACAGTCTGACTACTCTGACACAGAGTGTTGATGTAGATGAGGGAGAAGTCGGTATAAATCAAGCCCGAACCAGTTCAACTGAACTAAACTTATCTACGACTCAATATCTAACTTCTACATTATTTATGTGATTGTCTCACTGTATGAAAGGGAAACAACGAAGACATTTCAACTAAACTCCTAAAGTGACTGTAAATTCTTCCCTCCGAATAATCGTTTTCCGAAAACATACTTTAGAACAGAACGTAATATGGTTAACCACTAATTAATTGCATTGCAAAAGGAGTAATTCGACATCCAGGAGAGAAAAGGTACTATCTACTTTGATTGGACACTAGTAACTGGTGTGATTTGTCTGGTCCTTTCTTTGGTGCAGACTGAATTCTATCAGTCAGGTGGGCAAAGAAAGAACTAGCTACATCACACTATTTACTAGTGTCCAATCAAAGTACCCAATATAATCCTACAAGAGGTCAATCGCGAACCCCAATAGCTCAGCGGTAACGTCTCTGTCTGTAGTACTGGGTGACGCAGTTTCTAATCTCAGAAGACGGGGACATAAGTTCCTTCAAGGTAACAGATACGCCTTACTGACTGGTGAGTGGCAACTAGCACGAAACCTAGTTCAAGCAAGGCTTCCTGTTGATTGCCTCCAAACATCTAAAGGTACTATCTACTAATAATGAATCTACCTAGATTTACATTCATAACTTCTCAGAGCATTTTTACGCATCATCTTAAATGCAAGCCATTCTTTTTCTAAATATTCGAAGATTTCACATAGCAGTAGACACCCCCTTTCCACACGTCTTTTTTTCTCATAATCTCATGGAAGAAAAACCGATAATCTTTTGCTCAGAAGTGGTATTATTTTATTCCGAAGACGTTTAGAAAAAGAATTTGCTGTCTTAATAGTTTTTGATGTGAATTTTGGCACAATAAATGTGTGTTCCACAGTAATATCAGACGATATTACTAATGAACATGTGATATAACTTTTTTGGTAATTGTTACACATACCTACCACCTTATGACATATTTATTTTTTTTAAAAGTTTATTTTAAATTGATAACGGAGAATAATACAAGAAGGAATATAATAACCAAAAGCTCATTAAAACAACTTTTTTTTAAAAATATATTGCTTTGAAAATGCACCCGAAATACGCACCAATTTCGCGTGTGATGACATCAAAGAAGAAAAAAGATCCATCATCTTCAAGTCAAAATAATTACACCCAATTACTTATTTCAACTGAAAAAGTACTCCATAAGAAAGACCGTTATACCAATTTCACGTAGAGGAATTTCTATACAGCGAAATTATTCAATCAGACATAAAGAAAAAGCCA